ACCTTGGGGATAGTGAACTATAAAATCTGCATAAGTTCCCTGAACTGCCACTTGTGCAGCTCAAGTTATCTGCATAAGTGCTACTTAGCTATCTAATGGTGAAGTTGGATTTTACTTAGGTGTGAGTACTACAGGCACAGCTACTCCTACTATTACTCTTATTTACTCATATTATCAAGCGCTTAAAATCCCTAGTCATAGACCCCACCATTGTAGACACTGTACAAAACAGAAGCCAAAGTTGGCCCTTGTTGTAAAGATCTTGCAATCTCAGGGTATGTTGACACAGTGAAATGAGGTGTGATTGTAATACAGGTGGCTTTAATACTTGTTTGCATGTGGGAGCCAGTGTACTTAGTAAGCCAGGGCATGGATTTATACTACACTGGCTGGTCTTCACTAATCTACCTTCTGGACTCTTAAGCTTGTATTAAGAGGGTCTTTTTGCAAAGCGTCTTTTCTCCACTTTGAAGTTGGAGCTCACATTCAGTGCACATTAAAGGGGCCTACAGGTTGAGACAGGGCACTGTAAATTCACACTGCACACTAACTTCTCTAGCCAGAGAAGAAGCCAGAGAGAAGCAGTTGGTCTAGCTAGTATAGATAACAGTGGTGTTGAAAATCAGGCACCACCGGCTACTGGCCATAGAGTGCATCTGGAGTCCCTGGAAGGCTTGTACTCGCCTGTGCCACTGTCTTCACTACTATGGTCAGCTGTTCCAACATAGCATGGCTACATCTACCCACACTACAGTCACACATGAATCATGGTCAGAGACCATTTAAAGTTATTCATCAGCATGACAAGCATATACAGTCTCAGTACATTGGTGGTATAACCATGGTCAAGTTTTTGGTGGGCATTAGAGCAAAGGAGGGCTTTGAGGGAGAGCAAAGAAGTGGCATGGATGTTTACAGTGAGTTACCTTGTAAATTTGAAGTGGCAGCACAGACAAAAACGTGAAAACCCAGTTAGGCATTTACCAGATTTAAAAATCTGGCCTTCTGTTTCTTCTAACTGCTGCTTAGTCCCTGTTCTTGCCTATTAACTGTACATTTTTATCTCTTTTTTTACCAATATAAAAACAGTGCAAACATTCAGAATACTGGAGGAGTATGTTTTCTAATGTTCCTGAGAGATCTGGGTATCCAGCATCTTAAATCTCTGTATGACAACATGCCACCTCCATATGGCTCCATAGTGTTCTGAAGTTGACCCTACATATACATTGAATCTGAATATACTTGGGGTCAATTTTAGGAAAAAACACCTTTTACCTGAATATAAGTAAACTACAGATAAAGTTCTTGAACTGCTATTGCCTTTACAAAATCCCAGAGGAGAATCAAATGACCAAGGAAAGGACTTAAAAGAGTTAAATACAAAAAAAAATTGCACTGAAAAAAAAATCTGATTTGGTATTTTCTTTGCATTTACAAAAATACTTCAAGTAGATAGGTCAAGATGTTCAGTGGCTCAATTATAAGTCAGCCATGAATAGAATTCAGGTATGGTTTTCATGCTTCTGGAGGAAAGGAGCCAGTTTATAACTGGAACAAAGCAGAATGTATTTGTACTTTCATAGCACGTGCAGGCCTCCAACTTGATCAGAACCCATAATGTTTTTTTATGGCCCCTGCACTGGATCTATGCAAGTAGACTCTTGTCCATGAAATCCCACTGAAGATCATGGGACCTTGCACTAAGCTTGGCCAAGAATCTTATAACAGAATGTTTCCTTTATCAGCAAGTTCTGGTTCATTGAAAACAAAACATTTCATGAGAAACTGCCAGTTTCCAAGGGTGTAGGTTATAGCTGTGCTGGTCTAAGGACATAAGCAGACAAGGTTCTGTGGGTAAATCCAAAATCTTTTATTAGGTCCATTAATAAAAGTTGGTCTAATAAAAAGATATCAGATTTACCCAAATAACCTTGTCTTCTAGTTTCCAAGACACTTATGTCAAGAAAGGTTTCTCAGCAGTGGGATGGAATTTCTAGTCAAAATAAGAAGCCAAGAGCATAATCCTGTTTCACTTTGTGGACCAAAAAGATGGTTTTCCAGCCATGTGCTTGCCATTCAGTATACTTACACACAGTTGGCAATTCTACTCCCCATGCAGTGTGGACACAGAAGCATTCAGACTGCTGTTGAGCGCACATAGTTGGCTGTGCACTGACTGGGTGAGTAGGTGGCTCTACACATGTACTTGAGCATGAGTCCTGAAAAACATGGGAAGATTCATATTTTAGCTAAGTGATTAGGCCATATACCTAAGATGCAAGAGACCCAAGTTCTAGGTACCCCCAAACTTACAGGGGTTTTGAATCTGCATTTATTTGTATTCCAAACATACTGGTCTAACCATCCGACTGCTGGTTCATTACCCAGCAATTTCTCCAATGCTTCTTTTGAAGCTGGGCCACTTTACCTTGCATTTTAATATGTATTAGCTGGAAGAGGTGAAGTTTCTTCCCGATCCAGGCCAGCACACCAGGCCCTCTCCTGAGAACATCATCCAGCTCACTACATGATGCAGTTTCTTACATAGTTGCTTCCTCCTGGAACCACATATCTCTCTGGCTAGGGGCAGACATTACACATAAACCAGTTTAAATGATCAGAACTGGGTTTAAACCTGTAACAGAACATAAGTTCAGTGCACATAAACCAGTTTCAAAATGGCTGAAACTGGTTTAAGATAAACCTGGTTGAATCTTGTATCAGACTGAACTGATTTGTGTCAAATTGGTTTTTGGAATGTCTGTCCCAGACCCCTTCCTGGTTTAAGTTAAACCAAAATCCCCCAACATTCCACATGCTTTGCAGCCCTAGGCATGTGGTATGCTAGCTAATGCTGAGAGGTGTGTGTGTGCGTGCGTGCGTGCGTGCGTGTGTGTGTCTCCAATTTCACTGGGACAGGCAGACAGGACAAAGGCAGACAAGACAGTGACCACTTAGGGCTTTTTGGAGCTAATCAGCAGGTCAGATGGTAATGTCTATCCGTTCCTTCCTTGGAAAAAAACTGTTTAAGAAGAGCTTGAACTAATGAGAGAGGCGCTTGTTTTGCTGATGAGCTGATAACGCAGTGGTTGTACCAGCGCCTTGCTGGTTTACAGCCCTATCAGGTTTGTAGACAGGGAGAGGGATATTAAAAAGCTCAGTATCATTGACAGATGCATGCACTGCACACACCCCCTTTACCTCAGAGTGCTAGCTGGGGGTTGGGGGCTGGCAACACTCCTGCCTCTTGAGCAGCAAGGTGGGGGCTTAAACCCCTCCCTAATCAGAACATCCTGCCAGGGCCTGGCCATGCCACCCCTCAGCTCAGCACTGTGGAAGGGAAGGGAGCTGAGCCACTGCAGCTGGCATGAAAAGGGAATGTCTATCCACCTCCAAATTGGTTCAAGTTTTGCAGGTTACACTAATCTGCAAAGATTCAATCAATTCAGGCTCAGGCTTTTTGTATGTCTGTCCCTAGCCTTTGTCTTGGCTCCCCAGGGGAACAGCTGCAGAAGGATTGCTGAGGGGGGACCTGGTGGCTGCCTACAAAATCATCAGGGGAGATCAACAGCAAATAGGTAGAGCCCTTTTCTCCCCAGCACCACTTGGGGTGATGAGGAACAATGGTAATAAGCTGATGGAGAATAAGTTTAGGTTAGAGATCAGAAGGCAATATTTTACAGTTAGGGTGGCCAAAATCTGGAACCAGCTTCCCAGGGAAGTGGTCCTTGCCCCTACCTAGGGCAAATTCAAGAGGAGGTTGGATGATCACCTGTCTGGGGTCTTGTGAGGTTCTTGTGACCCCACCATTCATCCCTGCCTGTGGCAGGGGGTCAGGCTAGATCTGTTCAGGTCCCTCCTGACCCTAGCTACTATGAAACTATAAGAAGAAACTCAGGTGTGTCTAACCTGTAGCATGGTGGTTAGAGCATTGTACAGGACATTATAGTAGATGTAAGTTCAAACCCTCTCTGGGTGTGAAGCAGGCATAGAACTGTGGTATCCTGGCTTTGTGCATTCCCTAAGGAGAAAACACAGAAGGGTGCTCTAATACCTGCTTGTCATGGATTTGTCTGCATGGAATTCATGATTTACACTTGTACGGAGCCTGGCCAGTGTATAGCCTACTGAGTCTGTGCTCAGGAGCTGTATGGATGCTAACAGGTCTCTGCACAGAGGGTAGGATTGCAAACTGTACATAAGGTGCCAAAAATGACAGGTATGCAGCTAGAAAACTGCCATTTGGGCACATAAAAAGAAATAGGCTTCTGCCCCAAGTGTACTTAGCATTAATGTGGGTTTCCTGGCCAAGCATGCTCACTCTTGTGAATAGAGGCAATAGGCAAACCAGTGGATCTTCCACCTCCCTAACCAACATGAGCAGGGTCTTAGTTCATTATTGCTCCAGGCCAGCTGTAACATACTCCCCATACCAGGAGCAAGCAGGGAAGAAAATGTAATTCAGAGGAGTGTTTCTGAGGCACATGCCTCCTGGACTGCTCCTGGTACGGAGCAGTTTGCACATCACCTTTTGTTTAGGGCTGACCCTGAAGTTCATCAAAACCAGTGGGGTTATTTACACAAAATGTTGTTTGTGGACTGCATTCAGATTTGAAAAGGTACTTGCGCATTGAAAGATGTGGTTAGCACCTAGTGGGAGTTTCAGAAAGCGCCTACGCTCTGCCTGAACACCTTTGAAATCTAGTCTGTGAGGCCCCATTTCCACTGTCATTGAAGGGTGTTTGAGCTCATGACTTTTTTCAGCTGCTTTAACAGTCCCTGCTGTGCATGATACGACTGCAGAGTTTGGCCTTTAGGCAAGTATTGGTTCAGCTTTGCTGTCGTCTGTCCCAAGCCTGACATTTACACTTGATTTAAGGCTGTTTTTGCTGAGAGATGCATGGATGCTGTTCTTGTCTGGGGAGGGAGAGGTTTCCGATTCACACCCACCCAACAGGGAGCACATCTAATTTGCATCCAATCTCTGTTTCCCTTAGCGGAGGAGATTGCAATCAGCTGGCCCCGAATAACTGCCTTTGCAGAGTCGCACAGGAGAAGAGGACTGGTCTCTGGTAAGTCACTGTGAGAAAGGAAGTCTGAGACTGTGGAGTTTGCATTGTTTTGCTCTCCCTTCACCTCTGTGGTTGGGACCCATGGTATAGCGTGGGTAGAAACAAATGTCACTTGATGTTGCATTTCTGCCACAAAAATTTGTTATGGAAGGACAGATAGTGAGCAAATAGACATCCTGACCCTTTGTTTGGCCACATCAGTGGTAGCAACAAAAGACGGTGTAAAATACTGCTGCATTATTATTGCAGGCATCTGTGGTTTGTGGTGGGAGAGTGTGAGCTGCCTGGAGCTGCCCACAGTCTCCAGCCATTCTGTGCAGATGCTCTGGGGACTTTAGGGGCCTGATCCTGCATGCTTCAAGAATTTCCAAGCAAGATCGGGCCCCCCAGACCCTGGAAGTGCTTGCCCAACTTTTCCCTCTTACGGAGACATGCCCTAGGGAATCTTGGGGCAATTCGCTGTAAGTTGGGAAAGCTGGGGTCCCCTGCTTATGGAGAACCTCCCAGGGCAATGCTACTCAGGTCCCAGTGTGGAATCACGGTACCCAGGGAATCCCTAGAGCCCTGTGCCTCCACACCAGGACTTGCATTGGGTCCCGAGCCAACCTGTGCTTCATGCAAAGGCATGGTTGAGTGCAGGCCCCAGTTGGAGGCACAGGGTGCAAGGGCTTACGCAGATCCCACGTCACCCTGCTCTGCGACCAGTGGTGACCTGTGACTGCTTAAGGCACAGGTTGGCATGGGGCAGTGAAGGGCACAGGGAATCCCTGGATAAGGGGAACACATTCCCGTTCTCCCACATCAGGTAGCATGTGTTTCACCCAATAAAGCACATCAGTTGTGGTGGGATGCGTCTTCATTTGGAAGTGAAAGAAAACAAAAAATGTACTTTTTCACCTTTTTAAAAGGGGCATGGGGGCTTCTCTGGTTAAAGTTGCAATGGCTTTGCTCCACTTTATAGAAGCATGCAGATGTAACACCTTATCATAGTATTACTTGGTATTGATATAGTTGTCACATCTGTCTATATCCACAGACTTATAGGAGCTCAGCTCAGCAAATCACATTTTTGTGGCTCTCCTGATGTTGCTGTCCTATGTCAAGACAGAGTAACATAGGCATGGCAAAAGCCCTCTCTACCCCATCCATCCATTTGCAGAATTGGGACCTAAATGGGATTTACTGAGCTGCTGAAGGCAAATCAGGCATCAAACTGCAAATTGTAAAGAAAAGGGAGAGGAAGGAGGAAACTGTTTTTAGATAAATTTTAATTACATACATACTAATATGCAGAGGTTGCTAGGCAATGATTTTACTTATGCTACTCACCTTTAATTGTTTACAAATTTAAGGCTGAGATTTATCAGCAATTCTGGGTGCTTTATGCTGCTCCAGGGTTACAGATCAGCATTGGTGACGTGTAGTGGGTGCACGTGGGTGCACATGCACCCCCTGAGCTTGGCGGTGCACCCCCTGCAAAAATGCGCTGCAGACACTGCGGGCGGTGTCTGTGGCCGGTCCCCAATCACCGCTGGCTGCTGCCACAGCTGCCAGCAGCATCTGTGGGTGGTCACCGACCACTGGTCAGCACTCACCACCCTCCCCCTCCACCACCAACAGACACTCCCACTGTCAACAGCGCTGCTGCCACCCATAGGAGCTC